AGCTAGTGATTTTAATATTAATTGGCGTGACAACCATAATTCGAATCATTTGAAGCGTTTAGCTGAGTTTTTCAATTTAAAGCTAACGGTAAATGAGTATGCGCGTATTTTCAGGCACAGTAGAACTTTAATTGACCACGTTTACTCCAATTTTGATTCTGTTTGTTCAGTTACGGATACTGGTTTGAAAATAACCGATCATGAGACCTTAGTGATTAATGTCTTAGACCATGCTAACGATAACGATATTTTTGTAAAATTGAAGTGCTGGAGGAAATATTCGAAATAGGCTGTTTCGGATCTTGTTGAGAGGAGCGTGGATTTTCCATTTGCGGCCGGTAACTTAGATGAATCTACAGCTGTTCTTAATAACGCTTTGAAAACGTGTACCAATCAACTAGTCGAGCAAAAGTTTGTTTCTTTGAAAAACTCAAACAGCTGGTACAATTTGGATCTTTTGCGTCTTAAACAGAAAGGGGCTAATGATACAAAAAATTTTGTAGATCAAATAATGACAATCATTGTAATAGGTACACAATCGCGCGTAATAAGTATTCACAATCGATAAAGAAAACTCGTTGTGAATATGTTCAAAGGAAGATTGATCAGCATCAAAACTACGGCAAAGAGCTATGTAAATTTTTTAAATCTTTATTAAAACCTTGTAATTTCAAACCGAGGTGCATAACTTTTAATGGCATATTAGAACAGTCAGAACAAGTAATTGCATCTAAATTTAATGATTATTTTGTCGACCGTGCTTCATTGATTAATCAATCCATTGAATTGGTCGATGAGCCTGACGAAATAAAATTTCAAGTTACTAGTAGTTGTAGATTTGAAGGTTTTTACCCAATTACATGTGATGAACTTAGAGTTATTTGTTTTTCATTAGGAAAATCGGCCGGAGTAGACAATGTAAATGCTAGATTGCTTTCATATCATTGGCTTCATCTTGCTGGACCTTATTAATGAATCATTGCAAACTGGACATGTGCCACACATTTGGAAGGAATCCTTAGTGGTTCCTATTCAAAAAGATGCTGGAACGATTAAAGCCGAAGAGTTTCGTCCAATCAACACGTTGCACACATAAGAGAAAATTTTAGAACTTGTTGTTGAAGGCCAGCTGTTGGATTTTTTTTTTCTTTATTAGAGAGATTTTTAGCCATAGGCTAGTTCATCTCTTACCAGCTGTTGGAGTATTTAAATAGTAATAGTTTTTTTTATACCAGAACAATCGGGATATCGGGAAGGTCATTTTTGTGAAACCACGTTGAATAAGGTATTAATGAAGTGGAAAAATAGCTTGGAGTGTAGAGATACATTTTTTGTTGTTTATTTTTTTTTTTTTTATCTAAAACGTGCTTTTGAAACAATTTCTAGGCCCTTATTGTTAAGATCATTCAAGCGCTTTGGAATTACGAGCACTGAATATAAATGTTTTGAAAGCTATTTGTCTGACAGAACTCAACGGACTGTTTTTAATTATTCTTTTTCCAATCGCGTAGAGGAATAACCTTGGAGTGCCCCAGGGAAGTGTATTAAGGCCCCTATTATTTATTATGTATATTAATGACTTGCGACGTGTTTTACGATTTTGTGACATTAATCTTTTTGCAGACGATACCGAGGATGATACTGTGTTATTCTTTGCAGCTCTAGTTGGAGCTGAGGATTAAGATGATGCCGTTTTACTCTCGAGTGAAGATTTGCGTTCTCTTATTTTATGGTAATTTCGCGGAATCGAGTAAATGAGAACGTCTCTGTTGTAATTGATGATGAGAATGTTGATCCCGTTCGGGAGATTAAATATCTTGGCGTCATTATTGATGACACACTTAAGTTCAACTCTCACATTGACAATGTCATCAAGAAAATTGCCAAGAAGTATGGAATTCTATGTCAACTGAAAAACGATTTAGCTATTGCCAGTAAAATACAACCATAGAGGTAACTCTAAGACGACAAGGTCCCGAAGAAACGAGCTCAACTTTTTGGCTCAGCTCTGGTACTATCTTCGGTCTCAAGCTAATCGATGCACCCCTCAAAACATTGGAAAATCCACGAACCCCTCATTTAATCTGTCAAACTTTCATAGCGAATCAAAACAAACATAGTGTAGTACTGGAATTTACACTGGAATGGGCTACGTTAGTCGATTTGCTTGGGACCAATAGGCTAGTCAAGTGGTGAGCCAATTTACAATCGATTGTTGATACAACTATATAAATCAATCATCTCCTCATCTAGACTTTTGCCCTTCCATTTTATTTCTGGCCAATTAAACACAAATATCGATATTACAGCGCTTGCAGAATAATATAATGCGCTGGATATTGAGATGTAATAGATTCACTTCCTCAACTTTGATGTAAATTTGACTATGGTGTTCATTTTTAAAGTAGTTAACGGTTTGCTGTCTCGATATTTGTGTGATCGAATTGAAAGACGAAGTGACTTTCATAGATGTAATACTAGAAACGTGGTTGAAATAAGAACACCTCATTTCTTAACTTGTGCTTCACAAAATTCATTGTTTTTAAAGGAATAAATGTTCTCAATTCGATTCCTAGACGTTCAGCAACACTTACAGAATTTAAAAGACACTGTATTTCACACGTTAAATCTGTCGTTTGAACAGTTATCCAGTGATTTTTTTATAAATTGACATATTATGTATCTTAACGAACTTATCTCTAACGGATTATTTTGTATGGATAGCTTTCATAATGACTTTTAATAATTATTTTAGCACTGCAAAAACTTTTTTTGTTTGCCTTGATGGTGATGAGGGATTATTAATATTTGATTTAATATTAATAGTTTAAAAAAAAAGTAGTCTACAAAGGTTTGAGCCTCAGCCTTCAATGCAATTTTGAAGCTTAGTTACCTTGAGTTAGTAGTAAGTTTTCTGGCAAATGTTGGGGGTTCCAGAGCATTCCTGACATTGCTGAAAATTATGATAGCATCAGATTGCGGGGTTGCTAGTGTAATAGGATGCTTTGTTGATTGTTCATTATTATTTTTTCCTCTGTTCGGGACCTAACACTACTGCGACCAGTAAATTGATCAATTGTAGTATATCCCGTGTCCTTAGTTTAGTGCATGTCGTATTACTCCATCACTATTGAGAAATGATGAAGTATTCGATTTTTTTACAGTTGCCACTCTTGCATTTATTGCAAGGATCCGACTCTAATTGAAAGGTCCCGCTATTTATACCTTTCGGAGTGTTGAAACACCCTCCAAAGGCGTGCCCCTTTGTCAGTCAAAATTGGATTCCTTAGCAACAAAATTAAGGTATGACACCGATAATGACCATGCATCAGAACCCTAGTCTCAACCACTTCAAACTAGGGAACAACGAATAGAAGATAAGGAATCACATAGATGAAGACTAACTAACTCATTTTTTCCTTGTTTCAAGATCATCCTCGGTAGACAAAGCCGAGTCTTGTCACTATCAACAAGGCATAAAAAGTAACAAGGACTAAGATGTGTTCCTTGGATTACTGAAAAATCCTGTATCCCTAGTTTGAAGTAGTCAGGACTAGGAATCGGTGGTAGATCTTACATCCCGTAACGTACCACGAAAAGGTGATCTACCCACGTTACGGGGCATTGTTCATTTACTCATGATTGCTTGTAATACTTATGAATATTTTAGGAGGACAAAAAGGTGAACTAAGAGGTGGACGCCTGAGCTTTTCAACATTTATATCGCTGTGAAGCAACTGTAAACTCTAGAGGGAATTTATATCAGTAACTATAACCAGTTAAATTTTGTTTGCTAACCTGCTTAAAATGCCATATTTAATTATCTTAGAGATAAATCGTCCAGCTCAAACCTTTGTAGGGGTAAGAGGTGGGACCATTATCATCATCAGAAGTTTTCCCCGGGAAAGTGTCAGAAAATTTGCTCAAACTATGAGTGACCTACGTTTTAGCGATTTTTAGTAATATGAACTCAACTCTGGGTAACATTTTTTGTCCATGTGCGAATGGTTTGGAATGTATTTTTTTTTCTAAATCATTAAAAATAAACTCACGCCGACCAACGCCGCCACGCCGCCGCCGCCGAAAGCAAACGGCGTGACGCCGCCACGCCGCCGCCGCCGGCAGAAAATAACATATCACGCCGCCGCCGAAAATATTTTGATCGGCGCACAGGTCTACTCCGAAGGCGATCACCACCGTAAAACCTTCCATTAGTTGGCGACAGTTGAATGGAGCCAATCCGATGGTATTGATTGCGAAAGAACTTCGTCTCGGGTAGGTCGGTCAGTATATTTAGAATGGTTGCATGAAGCTGCCAGTTCGGATTTTTTAAATGTTTTGATTGACTCGACGGAAAAGTGACATTTGAAGCCAAAAAATAGCGACCAGCTGTATCGTCGCCTGGTTGCCAGTCACTGCTTTTCAGGATTTTATCAAGTACACAATATGATATAAGCTATATCAAGAACTATTCATGATATAGACAGGGAATCAAAATGAACGATTCAGATAAAGATAATGGCATTCTCATTTTGGTTACACTCATGATTAGTACAAATCCATAAATCACAATGGACAGTTCTGGAAACGATAATGCGATTATCATTGGTGTAACAGATCATGATCATATGAAATAGCGATAATCTCAGATCGTCATCATCAGCTCTCGTCACTGAAAATTCCCCATTTAAGACAAGGCTAATCAAATACCCTATAATATGTGAATTTTCGAAATGAGGATGACTATAGAGATCGAAAATCGATGTTTGCCGCCATTATGAAATCCAAGATGGTGGCCATCGATTTAAGAAAAACTGTCGAAAATTGATGTCCGCCATCATTTGGAAATGCAAGATTACCCTGCAATGTGGGTATTTTCGGAACAGGAATAGCATGCAGATGTAGAAAATTAATATCAGTCGCTATTTGGGAATCCAAGATGGCGGCTATTGATTTAAGAAACAACTTTTCCCTACAATGTGCGCATTTTTTAAACCGGGATGACGTGTAGATGTCTAAAATTGATGTCGGCCGCCATGTTGACTAGTGTTTTTGTCAGTTCTATTTAAAACCAAAGACCGCCAAATTGGATTCCAAAATGGCGGTTGACATCGATTTTCAACATCTACACATTATTCCAGTTCCAGAAATACCCATATTGTAGGGTATTTAACGGTTTTTTTTTTTCCGAAACCAACGGCCTAGATGACAGATTTCAAAATGGCGACCTACATTGATTTTCAAAATATATGTGTCATCCCGATTCCAAAAATATTTGTATTGTAGGGTATTTGACCTCTAGAACAACTTTTCCGAAGACAGCAAGTTCCTAGATTTTGAGATACATTACAAAGTGATTGTTATCATATCAGTAGATTATCGTTTTTGTTGCTGATCATGATGTGTAACACAAATGATAATCCATGATCTTACTGTACACTGATCATGATTCCGATAACTAGTATTTTTATCGTCGGTAAGCATCGGAAGATAGCATTTTCTTGATTCCCTGGATATAGATTGACAGATCGCTTGTATGGGATATCACGTTATATAGAACATGATATAGCTGCTATATCACGAATAACTCTATATCACTTGATATAGAGCATAATGAGAACAGGGTATAAAGTCCTCTAAGTAAAAGTATGGACGTCTGTCAAAAGTTGACCCAATTCAATACTTTTACTAGAGGGCTTTAAGGAAGATCAATAGGGTTAAATGCCAGGTTAATTGGGTGAGCGACACCACGGTACATGCGGCATCACAACCTCATACGCATGGCTCCGTATGCTGCCCGTGCAAATGGCTACGTCACTATTAGGGTTTTCGTTAGTGTTGGGCTACTAATCCAAGTACATTTGATGATATATTGAACCTGCTGTGCGCGAACGAAAGACTTCTTTCTTACATAGACTCTCAAACCAGTGAAACCTCCGAGAGACGTAAAATACAGCATAGAAACGGGAAGTTCTAGTTGTGGAAGTTGGGGGGAAGTTGTGTTTATTTCTGTGGGTTGTCATGTTTTCTTCTTATGGGTTATAGATTTTTTTTGCGTTTAATAAGAAGCTCCTATGTTTAAAAAACGATAAAAAGAAGAAATGTCACATTGGGTTCACTTCGCGGTGATGGGAAGTGTTGCCAGTTGCTATAGATGATTAAATTGAAGCATTATTGGTGTAAAGTGGGACCCTCAATACTGCATCGCCGTATACGTTGACGAAGGGGTTTGTCCGTCAAATGACAGGTGTAACGCATGTCAAGTTGCTTTTCTAACATCACTACTTGGCGACTTTACATCGACGCTGCGTTAGTCCGTCTCTAAATAGATGATAACACAATTTGGGTGAGACAAAATTTAACCTCTGAGTCTATTGGTGCGCCTCTGAGTAGACACTGCATCTAGTTTGGTTGAACAATAACGTATGAGTGGGTTAGAGCGTCTATGTGCAAATTCATTATTGGTAAAGAGTTAAGAGAAAAAGATGATTTTCCTGAATACTTGTTGTTGTATTCAAAGTGATCTTTAGAAGAGGGTAGGTGGATAGTTCCGTTAGAGTACGGCAGTATGAAAATTGAATAGAAGTTGAAAATGACCGAAGGGCCATTAATGCGACAGTTTTTAAAGTCAGACGCACATCTTTCGCATAACCCGTACGATGTACTTGGGGACTTGAAGTATGTCTTCAAGTCTACAGGCTTCAAGTCAAGTCAAGTCCGAGGATAATTCCTAGATTTTTTTTTAAATAAATGCTGAGGAAAATAAATTTTAAGGGAACAGTTCCAAAGCTTTTCTGATAAGAGCATAATTCCGAGAAAAGTTTCAACGGAATTTTCAATAAATTTCATGCGAATATAGAAGTAAGCAGTTAGTAAAACTTAAGAAGATTTCAGAGAAGATAATTCTGAGCAGAGGTACAAATCATTTATGAGGTGAATTTCAATGGAATTCTAGGAAGACAACCGAGAAAATCAATAAAATTGCGGGAAATCGCTAATCAGCATGCGTCTTAAACTTATGAATTTTGAAAACGGCGGATTTATTTTCACAAAATGAACTGGACAATCAGGTTTATAAGGAAGTTTGATTTTCGTAATTGAGAAGACACCCCATTGAAAAATATCGAATACGCCATTTTGAAAAATTTGTTGGTTGGCAGAATTCCAGCACAAACTTGGTTAATTGCTCCTAGTGAACATTTATGTGAATCTTCATGCAAGTCGGAGAGGTAAACCAAAATCGATTCGTCAGTTGGAGTGGATTTGATCAATTCAATCAAATCATCGTCAATGGTTTACGCTCTGAAGGGACAACGAAACCGCACCCCAAGCTCCTCCCTTGATCATATCCTTCGGCAATGTACCCCTCTAACCTCGGGCAAGCCGCGAGTATTCGGCCCAACTCCTACTAGGCATAGACATAAGTGATTTTTTTTTCAAACAATGAACAATGAATTATCGGCTAACGGGCTTTACGGGTTAACACGAGTGAGCCTTCCAAATAAACGAACTAGATGTAACAAATCTTCAATGGCCACTTGTTCCAAAATTTCCATATGATTTATCGTGCAATTCTACAAAAAGTGTCTAACATGTTATGATATAGTTCAAAATTCTAAAAATGTGATTTGTCAGAATAAATCACTATTAAAATTGAGTTTTTCATCTTTCAATGAGTACAGTATTGCATAATTTGTTTATAGAGGGTGCAAAAAATAATTACAGAGTTCAATATGTCGTAAAGGAATACTTTCTTGTTCCTCCCAGTCAACCATCCCGCCAGATTGGGAAATATTTAAAAGTGTTGAGACTCAAAACAGCTCACAAGAGCTCAGTCCTCAGACAGTTAGTTATTTTTAAACCTGAATAATCGAAAAAAAAATGATGATTCAAAATCTTCAAAAATTTTGGAAAAGGTTCGAATTAAATTAGTTATGGTTGTGGATTGGAGGCTGTGTTCCATTTGGTGAATTTCCACTTAAATTTGACAATTCGATAATAAATTATAATGTTTGAAAATCCCTCTATTTTTGATGGTATGATTTTCGAGAGGTGTTTGTCAAAATTGATTCCTGATCTGTCAGAATAAGTCTGGTAAAACAGCAGGTTTATTTGGAAAATTTATATCTGTCAAATTTAAGTCAAAATTCACTAAATGGAACACAGCCTGAATAAAGCAAAGGTTTTTTTTTTAATGACGCTAGAATTAAAAGGGTGTTTCAGAAAGTGTTAATGCAGTTTGATATTTAAATTGAAACATTTAGCGATCGATTGGGGATGACCATTCTGATGAAGTGACCTCAATCAGAATAAATTACATTTTTTTCTGGCTGGAACTTGATTTAGTATTCAACCAACTTATTCATCTTTGCATATTTATTAATAGCATTTTTAAACTATGCACACAGGATTTCAATTTATCAAAAACTTGAAATTAATTCTAGAAATATCTCGCATTAAGATAAATTTGATTAGTTTTCAACCATATCGCATCACAGTCGGTCGGTAACAACCGTCCGACAGTAATTACATTGCTGCTGATTTGGAGTGTAGATCAATGGTAAACTTTTAAACGTCGTTAAGTGTATTCAATTTCACGGAATATAATTAAAAGTTTGTACTTTCGCGCGTTCCCGAGTCAAGCCCTCCATTGGGTGCTGGTTATTTTTCCTCCTCGTGGTTTTCTGATACTTGTAGGTACCTAGAAACATTTTCCCTGCCGTCGTAATACACGGATGAGCAGATACCGCGTGCAAGCTGGTAACTGACAGAAGGGATGGAAGAGCGAAAGCATGGAAGGGAGGCGGTGGGGCTGTTGTTCATTTGCATTTACAGTCAAGTGGTTTTGTTCAAAGAGCACTCAACTTTGTCATTTGATATTTTGCTCCCTGTGAACAGTTTTGAAACAGTTTAGCATATCGGAGAACATCATCGTGTCAGGGGCACTCGCGACGTGAAGATTGCCATATTTTATCACACTTTGGATTCTTGTAGCCACTTATACTTACTTGATGCTGGTCTCATGGATGTTTGAGCACGGTATACGGCGCGAAGGATAAGGGATTACTAGTGGTTGTCCTTGAAACTTCATCCTATTAGCGACGAGATGATTCAACTAAAAATAGACTTGTTTGCTAAGTTGAAATCACAACATCTTAACTTATCGATCCTTGTCGGTTGTTGTACTACCTAATCACTGATTATCTTAAAACGACTAGTGCGACGAGGGTACCAGGAAACGCACAGAGATGCTAATTTTGGTTTCTTCTCCATTGTTGCTTCCAGGGCTCAGCGTTGCTCAACGACAGGACCAGGAAGATCCGTGCAAAACCAAATCGAAGGTGGTGGGTGATGTGTCATATTGCGACCGGTACTGGGAGTGTGTCAACAATCAACCGGAGCTGTACGACTGTCCCAATGGGCTTGTCTTTGCCGGGAAGCATCGTGGCGTGACGGAAGGATGTGACTACCCATGGCGATCAGATTACTGCGAGGGCAAGCAGTTGGCAAGTGAGTGAAATGTGGATATTGACGGTGAAGCTTGTTTGTGTTTAACTTTCAGATAATGTTCGACGACGTGTGGGAGGGTAAATGCTGTAACCAGAAGTGTTGCTGTTGTCAGTAATTAGTTGGAATTAATGTGTTAGAATGTCTTCAGTTCAATGATGCATAAATTGGCCCTAATAAGCACATTAAAAGCAGACTCCAGTTATGTTGGGATTTGAATGATACCTATATTAATTTGTTGTACTTTGAAGAATGACATTTGGCATTGATATTGCTCTATAAACGGATCACCATCTCTGTGTTTTCACAACAGATTAACACTCCGAACACGATGCCTCCGATGAATTGTGTAACGGCAAATTGGTAATGTTTGAAAAATAATTGGTCAGCAATTTATCATATATTTTAAAAAATCTTTAAAGTATTTAGTTTCAAATGGCGCCAGTTGATTTGAAATTCGTCAATAAATTGCTGAGATATATTTTTTTCAAAAATTAAATATTTGCAGTTACACATTTTACCGGAGGCATCGTGTTCGGAGTGTTAATTTTATTTTTATTTTATATACCCCCCTTTAAAAAATACAAAACATTGAAGGGGCAAAATAAAAAAGTTGTATCAGAAGAATGCGGCCAATAATGATTTCCTATTAAAATGGCACAACATGCGATTAAAGCTAGAATATTAGTCTTAATCAGGGATGCTTCCACTTACTTCGCTATTAAAAACGTTTTTCAGAATTATGAAATCATTGGAAGTTATGTTGTACTTGTAAGTTACAAGAAGAGGTTGTGAAGCTTAATAAAATAGATGGATGTGACTCTTTGAAAGCGAAATTGAAAGGTTTTATTCATTAAACAAAACCACTTATTGTTGCTTAGACATTCTAAATATCACGAATACATCTAATGATTTCATAATTCCGAAAAACATTTTTTATTGTGAAGTGAGTGTTAGCAACCCTGGTCTTAATAACGGCGCCGGTGGTGTAGTGGTAAGTGTGATTACCTCTCACCCCAGCAGGCCTGGGTTCAATCCCAGTCGGCGCCGCCGGGATGTTCTGAGGCATAACATCTCTGATCACGCCTTCCTTCGGATGGGAAGTAAAGCCGTTGGTCCTCGGTTCATGAGTTGATGGGTCGATAGGTAGGGTCCAGGTGTGGGAGCTGCCTTCCTGGCACGTCGGTAGCATTGGTGCTCAGCACGGAAAACAAGATCGACGGAAAAAACAAACCAAAGGAAAAAAAAAACCCTGGTCTTAATATTTTTTAAATGAATTGTCTAGATATTTCAAGAGATATAATTTTTTCCCTTGTGATCCACCCTCTCCTATTCGAACTTTTGGAGTGATGTCAGACATAAAATAAAAAATAAAAAATATTTGCATCGGCCTTCTTCAGTTTCAATAGTATTGCATGACTTATCAGATTTTCAAATTATCACACTTCCGGTTATACGATCCAGCGTCCACAAACCATCGGCAGAATGGCTTACTTGCACTGTCACTTCTAATTTTCTAGGGAGTAAATCTCGCACTCTATTGCAATTTCAGACATGAAATTTGCTTCTCCTTTCTATGGGGAAGCCTTTGCTCCTCGTCACGCACTTTTCCTATACCTAATACATGGCGTTTAACACATTGTCATATTATCCTCATCCCTTGTGTTACGTAATATTTGAATGGGCCCTGATGTCACATCGCATTTTTCGGAGTATAATTATCAGCTACCGGAAAACATACAATAACAAAACTGCTTCCCCATGTTTTGTATGGAGAAACATATTTCTAGCGACACTTTTCAAAAGGTCCTAAGTAAAAATGTAAACAAATCGAGTTAAGCGATACAAACTATTGCTCTTCTATCATTGTATCAAGAACAACATGTGAAAAGGGACAACAAGCTTTTTGTAAGCAAACATTCTTATGCCCTTTTCTCGCCACCCATATGACACCAACACAAACCATCAACATCACCGGATAGGGGAAGGTTTCCCCTTTCCGATGATGTTGTTAGTTTGCGTGGGTGACCCTCGGTTGGCGAGAAAAGGGCCTAAAAAAGTTTGTTTTCAAAAAGCTTGTATGCCCTTTTCACATGTGGCTCTTGGTATGTGATACAAAAAACATCCATCCAAATTTACTTTCATTTATTTAAGAAAATCATAGGTCAAAAATTGTCCAATGTACAGTTTGAAATGATTGGTACATGATTGTTAATTCGATCATTCGGTGTTCATTTTACAAAAGCGGGGTCAATCTAAAGTTAGGTACTCTACTCTGAAATCTGTGAAAGAGAATCTAGTATGATGTAGACAAAACGTCCAATGTAACACTCATTGATCATGTCATTGAGAAAAATCGTCCAATGTAACATGTCGGATGTACAACTTGACTTGTCAAAACGTCCTATGTGTTTTTTTTCCTATATTGTAGCATGAAATTCAAAGTAAAATTGTGATTTTACCATTTTTACTAAATTTTCAACGTTATTATTCACTGACTACATTAAAAATAGTATTGCAAAATGTATTGTTTCTGAACAGTTTAAATAATAATCTGTCGAACTTCTACTTTGATTTTCTCAAAATGGTGAATATGGTACATTGGTCTATTTGAAAAGTGACGCGAGATTTCATGCCTGAAATCGCAATAGTATGCGAGATTCACTCCCTAGAAAATTTAAAGCGACAGTGCAAGATGATTTTAGGAAACTGGATCAATTTACACCATCTCACTTAACTTTCTCACCACCAAGAAAATCGAGGGGGACGACGCTATCTACGATGTAGGAAATATTGTGTGTGTTGACGTACACTCCGACGTTTTGTGTTGTTGGCTGCACCTAGAGCATCTATCACAATTTTTGCAATCCATGCTCTTGTGTCCAAATTCTCCACATTTGAAGCATCTCAACACATTAATCGCGGGAACTATCGAGCACCGATCAAACCCTACATTTACTTTTTTCGCACATAACAAACATTTATAAGTTTCGACATCGACTTTAATTACAACACTAAACTTGTTATAAGTGAAGCGTGGATTTTCAAACATGTTTACTACTTTTACATCATTAATAGCGATGTCTTCATTTTGACTTTTTAAGTAGTCAATAAAGACATCGGAGGAAAACTGATCGCTCATGCCCACTATTTTTAATCTTGGCACCGAAGTGGGAACAACAGCACTATATTTTTCACCCAGATTGCTTTCAATACCATTTTTTACATCACTTACGTTTGCTCCTGTTGCACACTCAACAATAATGGAGCCATCTTTACCATTCCTAAAATTACTGATTTTGTGTGTTTTTGGATCCAACTGAGTTTTCAAAAACTTACGAGTATCTTCGCAAGGTTGTTTGGACTCTTTCGGTTTAATCACAATGACCGGATGAGTCTTACGATTATCTGGTTTGTTACTTTTACTATTACTGTTACTATTAGTTTTACTTTGACTAGCACGACTATGTCTTTTTACAACATCCGCAAAACTCGCATTTTCTTGAAAAACAACATCATCATCATGATCACTATTACTAATTACTAATTTACGTTTTTTGCGTCTGGTATTTTGGTTCGATTCTGACTGAATCGTCCTAGATGAACTGCGATGATCATTCTTTACAGCTAATTGGTTTTCCGCATCAATTTTTAAAAATGAACTTTTCATATTATCCAATTTCTCACAAATTAAATTTTCAAGACCATTTACATTTATTCTAATGTCTGCCATCCCGCTTTTAACCGCGATGTCCACCCACATCTATGACACAAACGTCATTCTTATATACTTTGTGTGAAGCCGAAAAATCCTGGTTCTCTGGTTCGATTTTACGTCAACATTTGACAGCTGCTGCAAATATTCGCAAGCAAGCTCTGTTCATGCGTGATACGTTGTTAGGAAAGTTTGTCGCGAGCAGGGGGGAAGATTTTTTTTTACTCTTGTGCCGTAGGCGCTGTTTACTGTGTTCAACAAGAATTATCGTTGCCTAAAAAAGAAGTGCATTATAATTGGATGTGATAGCAGCATTACTACATTAGTAAAAAACTTTTAAAGCGATATAACCATGCGGTACACATGAATGTAGCTTAAAAACGTGTTATCAACACTAACACCACCACCATCGGTGGCAGCTTCAGCGAGTACTAGTCTTGCCAGGGATGTGTGTCCACCTGAGCAGCAATGTGATCTCGCATGTCAGTGATCGAGTCCGAGAGTTGAAAAACCTTTTTCATCTCTTCCTCTATCCTTTTGACGCGCGAGATCAGATCATTCTGCTCGTCACAACTCTGATCTGATAGACAACTATCACACTTGAACAGAACATTTGCATTATCTGCTATAAGCCTCGCCGCAGTCTTAGTGAGTGCCGCACAAGTGAAATGGAACGTTCCATTGCACGGACCTACACATGTAACTGGGAGCCCACTCATAGCAATAGACTGCTCGCATACATTACACACATCCATTTTACCAAATTAAACGCTAACACTGTTAGCAGCAGACATATACAGGGGAGGAGAGCACAAAATAAAATTTTACCGCCACAGCTCACTACACAAAAGCAATAGCGCGCCGGGGGGGGGGGGGGGGGGAATACAAAATTAAACAAAAACTAGTTGCTAGGCAACCTTTCCTCTACTTATCCTGTTAGAAAAATACCACGGGCACGCGTTGGAATAATCCTTTCGCGGCCAGTGATGGAATTCTCACCAAAATATCATTTTCGCTTGCGATACGTTTTCTCTTGGGAACTTTCCCTCACTAGTTTCACACTCCAATATTTCCTGAGCGAACTTTCTGGGATGAGAGAATGAGATATCGCGAACTTTTTTAACTCGAATCACCAACGTGAGGATACTAAAAATATCAGATCATTTTCTCTCTCTATCTCTTTACACCACATTCGTTCTTGAAAATTGCACTGCACATTTCACAAGGGAAAGATTATAGACAGAAAGCTATCCCGAGTAAATCAATACAATCTCTAAAGACTGATAAG